CATTTTTATTGGCTACACATTCATCCGCTCAATGTTTCAAATACTCACTCACTAGAATCTCAGCGGAGGCGCCAGTTTCAATCATCTCTCCCTCCACCCTACGGTTGACATTTTCGAACCATTATCTCCACTGGAGTGAACTTGCTGCTTGATCCTTTTCGAGGATGGGACATTTAGGTGGGATAATTGCTCTTCTTGTTGTGGAGCCAATTTGTTTTCGGATAAGTACGATGTGTGCAGTCCAGACCAAGTCACTTAGCGCGCCATTCATTTGGGTATACGGGTACACCTCGCAATGGAGGCAATTTTTAATCAATATCATATAAGTTTGAATCGGAATTTGTCCACAAGCAATAGAAGGAATTGCACAAGACTGTAGGGCGGAGCATCTTTAACCATATTAACATCGAAGAGTCGGGTTACAAGTTAGAGCCACAAATGAAACTGCTAAAATATTGCCTAAATCCCTCAAGTAGGCTTTTAGCTCAATAGGGTTGCTCAACTGGGGTTACAGTTCTAAGTAGAATGCAACCTAATTTACAATTCATATTTCCCTCCGCTCACGCAAATATAATTTCTGGAAAGCAACAACGGCAACATACGGAAATAGGAACCTCCTATCGCGGGAACATTGTGTGAATTTCCAGATAGATTGGGACCAACGTTGGGTTGGTGGTAGGATAAAGGCTAAAGGCTGCAGGTTAAACGTTTAGGTTGGTGTTAAAGTTAGGTCACGAAAATATTCATCCGTTCTGTAAGTTTGCGCGAAGCCGCCTGTTACGCGAAGGGGAGAGGAGTTCGTATTTCCATATCTTACCGATGCAAAAACTGTGTTATAGTTTAAGCCGAGTTTTGAAGTTTCATCATCTTTTTGGTGAAAACCGTTAACAATAACGGTGTATGCATTCTGTTTACAGGAAACTTTAAGTTGTTTACTTAGAAGAAGCAAGTACTCAGTTTTTGGAGAATTTCACTATTCGCTGTGTATTTGTGAACGAAATGTACCTTTTCGTTCGAGTTTAATGTGCAATTTTTCCAAGTCACAGTAGTAGAGTACGTAACCTTATTCATGAAGCATAGTACGGAAGTAAAAATTATCAACTTAGTTAGGCAACTTACATGTTTTTAGTTTTACTTATTCGTCTAGCCCGTTCTGGAAAATGTCCTTTACATGAGTGAAATATGTTTCCTATTTAGTTTATCAATCGAAAATTTATAAATTGAACAGCAATATACGCTACCGTATATTTAGACAAGTTCCTATGTCAATAGTTGTCCTAGACTTTGTTCACTTATCTAAGCTTGTTTTGGTTTTAGGGAAAAGTTATTTAACCTCAAGAGTGTTGTCAAACTGGAAAGTGGATTTTACTCTCCCCATAAAGCGTGAGAACTATGTTGCCAACAAAAAATATTATTTGGGTAATGAGAGTAGAAGTTTGTATAAATATTAGAATGCGACCTAAACGGTCAGTTAATGCAAAGGAATACCCAGGTCAACCCTGCTTCGGCAAATGCTTTCCACAAATATCTTATTTCAAAGATATTGTTGAATGGATCACAGTCAACCTACCTTACGGGCAAGCAACTGAAAGGTTTCGGTGCTTTTTCAAACTTGGAAGATAATCTCGTTCTTTTGCCAAGCGACAGCCAATTTCCGTTCGTCTAATGCTTTAAAATATATATATATTTTCTGAAGGACTTCTGCATATACTTACGACTGCGTTGGGAGTCCCCCTCCGCTGGTTGATTGCCAAATATTGCAGGCCCTCTGTGAGTAGTTTTTTTCGGTGAAACAGCGTTACAATTATTTAAGATTAAACGTTTAACATTTGGCTGCATCGGCTTAAGCAGCTGAATTCAAATGTAACACTTGCTGCGTCCTGCACATGTCATATCAAAAATTCGTTCACGGAAACTGTAAATAGGTCACATCAGCTACCTAGGCAGCTTAACTATTGAAAACAAATAAATACTTCAAGGCTTATGGAACGGTAGATCATGATTTCGGTTCCGATGGTGTTTCACAGTTTTGCTCTGCAACAACGGAACTCTCCCATACCGAGCCTAGAAGGTTACGCACCTCACTTCGGGCACTAGTTTTTGCCCTGTGTATATGTCGGTTTTTTTAAAAATCGCATCACTGGACGTAAACAAGCATTGCGCATACAAAACCCCAATGTCTATTTTGCTATGCATTTGTTTACTAACAATCATGGCTTCAATCGACACGCCAACCAAATTTCTCGAGCGGGCGCCATAAAATACGTGTTAAAAATACCCGAAGGATGGAAATCCGGGAATGAATATCTATATATATACCTCAGTCTCAAGTTGAGTTAGAACGGATTACGCACGCAACCCATCGGGACACCACACAATTTGCAATGACCGCAGCACGCCCTTCACTACCGCGAAGAAGACGCGATCTCTAGAATAGAAACTTTATTCGCCTGAGGTTTCGCAACCAGCTCAAACGCACCCTCAGAGACAGCATCAGATACGGATTCGCTATTCTCCCGTCAAGCTATCCACCAAAAACGCCTAGAGAACTTCTGTCGTAGCCCTCTGTTTCCTCCCTCACATTTGTAGTGTGAGGACGTCAGCCATAACCTTCCTCTGCTACTCACCCTCTAGCGCACCAAAGGCAAGCTCCGGTCGCTGACAGTTTTAGAAATTCCAAGACACGGGCATAAGCATATTCCAGTCATACGGATGGCCGTGCGCTTAATTCCAGGAAGAGTAAATATTGCCGTGTCCCAGACTTATCACTAACCTTAAACATAACCCAAATTTTATCTTAATCCTTATGTTCCACCGAATCCTTCCGGAATTTAGCGCAAGGCTATCTGCGGAGAGTTCCCAGGCCCATGTCTTACCTTTAATTGCTAGCAATTGTTTGCTCCCTTAAACAGCCTTTGTCTTGTCAATGGACGTTTCATTTTGGCATATTACAGGGCCTACTACTCTATCAACGGCACTTTGCCTCAGAAATTTATATCCTAGTCTAAGCTTAACATTCGCTCCCTCCGATGAACTCCACCACAAATGGCAAGCTAAGTAGCTAAAAGGATTCCTGGGGGGAACATATTGGGGGTTAGGACGGCCTAAACGAATAAACTAGCCAAACGAGCATAAAACGGGATGCTTCGCTATACCTGCAGAAGCTAATAAGTGTGATCAATTTCATCGCGAATCTGCAATACAACGCGAATTTGTATTCCCACTGCTCTGTGGCTATTCTTCTAGAGACAGTTTACTGTTGTTATGCACAAAATACTACATTTACACAAACTTCCAAGCAGGTCTGCCTGAAGTAAAACATCATATTCTTGGCAAGGAATGTGCTTTAAAGCGATCCGAGTGCGAAATGAAGTTCCATCTAAAGAGAAGGGTCCAGAACGTCCCCTGGGAGACTGTCTTTTGAGCTGGATAATTTGAAGGCTGAGGAGATATGCTCATAATTTAAAACGGCTAGACAGGGGAATGGGAAGCTTGCCACATGGAATAATTGGCTTGGGAGTAAGATTAGGATTGAGTTTTGGGTTGCGATAAGGAGATGGGAATATGTACTCTTCCTGGAAGTTAATACAGAGTCAGGTATTTTACTGTGGAGATTTCCTATCTCCGAGTTCTCTCTGATAAAGGTAGGTTTAGGGCTCAGGTTAGGCCTAAACTTATGTTTAAGAGTGAATCTGGGATGTGGGAGTGTGTTAATTTCCTGGAATTTAGCGCAAGACGTTCGATCCTATTTCTGTGCCTTCATTTTGCAATTTTTGTTTGTGTTCAGGTACGCATCGA